ACCTTTGCCCAATCAATTGGCAATCTACTTAAAAAGTAAAAGCTCGTTTCACGTATCGATCGAAAAAATTTAATTCCATTCAAGTCTCATTGGTCACAGCGTTCCACTTCGATTCGGTTGGAATCCGTTAGAATGGAAAGATCGATTATTAAGTTCTCTTATTTAATCGTTTGCGAGAGATTATGCGAGAATTCTCATCGAAAACTTCTCCAATATTTTCTTCGTAAGGGAATAAAACGACAGAAAGGCCCGAATCGAACTTTGCCAACGTCTTTCGATAGAAAAGATAAGATCGATTTTATTAGATTGTGGGACCGTCGGTCATTATCCTCAATTAACGTTGTGATAAAATTCGAAGTAAGTTATTAATTTAAAGATTTAATAATAAGATCTTCTTCCTCTACATCCCCTTGTTTCATAGAGATGGCTGATATGAAATATTAATGCTTCAAAGATCAGCACCCTCTTCACCCAAAATCTTTTACTCTCATGAGAATCACCCTGGGAGCATCGAAACCCTCGGAATCGGCGCAAGCTCGTTCGAGCGTGCCCTGTAACGACCGCTTTCTCTCGCGAGCGAGCTTCCTGTTACCAGCCGCGCAGATAATTCAAGCTTCTAATTAAAAGCACCCATACCACCGAATACTGGCCACCCTATTCTGGCCAGGAACGTAATAGTTCGGCAAAGTGGCTATAGGTCTAGCCGCGTATAAGCGCGTGCCCGAAAGCGGAAGAGGCACACGCGACGCGATAACGTGCTGTTACAACGTCCCTGTTCATTATCCGCGTTTTGAATTGCAGCATGGCCGGTCGACAAAAGAAATCGCGAACTTTATGGGGCGGCTTTGTCCGACGAACCACAGGCGCCGACATCGTCGTTTGGCATCGAAAGCAATATCGTCCGGACGTTATCCAATTTCGCGAGACCTCATAGGAGACTTCTCTTTCGTTTCCTCTTCCTTCTCTCTTTTGTCGTTCATCAGTTTCTTTCTCTCGTTTGGCCATGATTTTAATTCTTCCTCGAAGCTGAGCAACTTTGCTTCATTTTTATTGCCCTTTCAATATTACACACCATTTTCTCGAATTTTGACTAATTCTGCGTTTTTTACACGAGTAATCCTGGCTCGCAGGAATTTTTTCATATTTTAACAAGGTCGAACGAAGAATTTTAGGAACTCTCAACGCGGGTGGCATTAAAGGGTAGCGCCTGGAGAAAATTGGATTTTGAGGAGGTTTGATTGGATTAAAAGCGATGCCAGAGACACGCGTCACGAAAGGCAATTTCGTTCAGTCGACTAATAAACGCTGGCTCGCTTTTTCCTTCGCTTCTTTCCCAGCCGGTTACTTCACGGTTTTTGATGAATGAACCCCTCCCTTCCAATTTCCAATATGAACCTGACTTTTCGCGTTAATTTTCTCGAACCTTTAACGGGACACGACGACGAGATAATGTATTTTACGATTCGTTTATCTCTGATCGTTAATGACAAGCCAGAGTTTAAATCGGAATCTTACAAAACGAGTAAAACGAGCTGAAAGGATTCTAGATAAAATTCTTGAAGAATTTTAATCCCTTCGCTATTAATACGAAATATATTGTCGCTCAAAAGAGATAGTTAATTATAAAGGAGACTGTATCCTCTTTGATAGTAACTGTAAAAGGCTGCGAGTGCATTGTATCAGAGAGTCACGTAATTACAGGTGCATACACACTTAGGCTTCTCGAGTCCTCGAAACTGTTCTTGGACGAAAGCTCGTCAAGTTACCGCGGTAGATTTCGAAGCACTGTTCCAAGTTCCGGTTTCGTGGCTTTAATGAGTTGGTCGTCGAGGCGTGTATAATATAACGCAGCAAACTACCTGCCCAATTTTGTCATCGTGATTAAGTTGAGGCTTCTTCAGTCACCATATTTGCTCTTTTAAGAGCATTAGCTCAAATTACGTTAGCTACTTTCCTTTTTTCCATGATAAATAGTTTTACAATAAAAGGTTTAATGTTCTTTGGTGAAAGAACGTCGCTAAAAATTTTAAACAGAATTTGAGGATATAATCCTTAGAAACAGTGCGTGGTTCTTCTTTTTTCACTGGCATTCTTCTGACAGCAGTGTCACGAAAAGAGCTTTTATTGTACCGCTAAAGTTAATTAACATTTAGTCAGAGACCGTAGACGGGACATGAATATGCGAGACCTCGTTGATGCAATTACGTAATTTTGTACCTTTCCTCGTTCGTCCAAATCTTCTTTCCTGACATCGAAGCAAAAACTGAAGGGACTGCTTGTTATTTATGCAATGGAAGCTTTTAATTAAAGTCTGACACAAATGAATTTTATGTCCAATATAAGAGCTTCTGTTTCATTATTAAGTGATACATGAATTTATTTGAAGAATAAGCTTTCTACATAGAATTGCAATTTTTATCAAGGTTTAAACTTCTTAATTAAACCCTGTCAGAAAGCAATAAATAATTTCCAATTAGATGAAGCATGCATTCATCTTAAAGTCGTCGTAATGATAATACTATTTACGAAATTAACAAGAACATTCGTAAAGACAGAATTACATTATAAATGTAGAATAAAATTAATTTAGTTCAAAATGTAAGTAATTCCTCGATAGAAAAACATTTGTGTTAATTTATATAATGATACCAATCGAGAAGTTCGCCCAGTAAATGTTGTGAAGCAAATTAAGCGAAAATAAAGTAAATTTTCATCGAACAAGTTGTAGAACAGGTTTCAAGCATCCCTGGGTAAAGCATCAAAGTAAACGTATTAAATACAGTTTCACGGAGTAATATGCAGAGTGGGTCGAGTACAAAGTTGTTTAATATGATATTTCAAAGACTCATCCCCTCCACGTTAAAGTATTCAAATGAAATTAAACGAGTTAGGAGAAAGTGGCTAAACAGGATAAAAAGAACAAAACTCGTGGACAAAGGCATCGCTTTCGTTCTTTTTTTTTGTACTTTTCTCAGTCTACTCGAGAATCTGAGAAGTAGCATCCGAAGCGAGCAAAGCAAAACTCGCGACTGAAAGCGTTCGAGTGAATAGAATTCCAATTAAAGCTTCCTAGACTCGCAAAGGAATCTTTGAAATTCAAGTATCGCGATTTTAGTTTCGTCGCGTATCTCGTTCAAACTACTGATAATTAGAAATATTTTGGATAACGAACGAGTATTATGTACTGTCCTCTTTGTGTGGGAATATATCGCGTGATATGTGAAAAATTTCAATGCAGATACATTTCATTTAACGCGCGTTTCAAAATAACTTTGCTGCAAAATGTATTTTTCCGGTCTTCTCTGATCCTTTGTAATCCTTCTCTACTATTATAGAGAATTTAGGTTAACAAAACGGAAGAGTTTGAACCACAACAGCGCTGGAAACACAGGGAATTACATCGAACAAAGCAGTCCCAGGACGAAACAACAACCCTATCTCACCGGAAGGAAACCAGTTAACTAAGAGTCCTGTTAATTAAACAGTCGCGAAAACTTTCGAAACAAACGATCCCTTCAGACTGGTGTATCAAACCGCGGAGAAACAAGTTTTTTACCTCTCTCCGAGGGAAAGGTGAGAGGAAACTAGCGTCTTGGAGGTAGCGGATCGTGAAAAAGGGACGATTGTTTTCTTTTTTCGCTGACGCGTTGCTTCATCGTGGCCATTACTGCACGCCGTACATGTAGAAGAGTATGGTACTCTTGAATCGTTTGAGACGAGCGTTCCCGCTTGAAAGTTTTTCGTACGAGACGGAAAACAGTGAACGGAGAGAGAAAGCACTCAGAGAAGGGAAAAAAGTTTCTATGTATCGCGACGTGTATTGTTTAGTTTGAAAGGGTAGCTCGCGTTGAAGTACACCTGGTAGTGTTTCTTTGAGATTTACCGGCCTGTGTTCGACTTGGAAAGGGTAATATTTGTGATTTTAATAACGGAAGTGTGAGTGTAGACTCCATACTCGGACGATTGTTCAAATTATGTACTTGAAGAAATTTGTAAAGTACGTGGAAACTCTTCCGGGGCCGACTGTGGGTCAATTGTGAACCAAGACCCACATCAAATATTGAAAAATATTTCAATCTTTTCTTCTATCAGTCGATGAAAATCATTCTGAAAAGAATCTCCGTTTTCATAACGAAATGTCTGTCTCATTGCACGACCAACAATCGGTCCACATGATTAGAATCCAGCTCCCATCGTGGTGGATCGTTGACCAGATTCCAGGAAGCGTATCACGCTTTGAGCAACGACGCCCGTTGAATCTGTACTCCTATTTTCCGTGTCCGCAACAGGACGTGTGCCTCGGTTTACAAATCCGACGGCATCGATTTCCTATTAGTATCAGGTAAACCGTCCAGCGTTATTGGCCAAGACTAGAGGAGGCACAGTAGTCGTGAACGGTACGGATCAGCCATAAGAGTTATATGTATAAGTCATAAAGCAGCACGGTATCGGCGCTGCATTAACCTTAATTACTTACGAGCATTAATGCTCGTATATGCAGTGGATGTTAACGACTTTGGCCTGCTACTGCCGATCGTTTACGTAACCGTGAATCGTATGTCAGTGCAGATTGAACGTGATCTTAGGAAGGCGATCGTATAAAGCAGACATGCAAGGTGCAAGCTTGAAACATAGCTGAAATTGATGCAGAGAAAGCATTAGATAATAGAATCGTCAATTTCGTTTTTTGAATAAATCGACAATTCCACCAATGAAGCTTTTAAAGCTAAAAGGTACCATTTCGAGAGCAATACGAGTTGCATTTAATTTACATTATTTTCCTGATTTCTTATATGAGAATTCAATACGAGTAAGCAGGAATTAATTCCATAGAATTTCCTTCTCGTGTCGTAAAACGAAACGTTCGTCGACGTGGGATCAATGGTAAGAAAATGTAACACAGCTCGTGGAAAGCAACTCGAATGGCACATTATTGAGGTCAGTTCCGCCTCAAAGTTCGACAATGAAAAAACAACGATATTGTTATGATGTGTACTCACCATCGTTGTTCGTTCGAGCACGCGGTGGAGATGAGCTGACCGTTGGGAAATTTCGGGAAATGTTATCCCTTGGTTGCGGAAGTGGCCCTTCAAGATTTGGACTCGGGCTGAATTCAGCCCTGAAGTCTGCCCTGTCGAAGCCCTCCTCGAATTCGTGCATCAAGTTCACTTCGTCAGGTTCCACGTCACCCCCGTATTGTTCTCGTAACACTGTACGGGGTACTAGAAAAGAAGAACATAGTTTTCGTTCAATTTCAGATTTTGAAACAGTAACTTGGTGTTTCTGTAATTATTTGATTATTCCCTGGAAGATTGTTTACCTAGATAAGACACGCTATTTCAGCATTGTGACAGAGCTCGATTTATTTCCGGTAGCATAATGTTCGAGTTCGATGTAGGAGTTGCGGTACCGATACACGGTATCGCGTATGCAATTGCATTTCAACCCGACAGGCACGTAGATACCAAATCAGTGTCTTGGTCTGACGTAGACGTGTTGCACAACGCGCTTCGAATTATTCTACCGTGCGAAAATTCCTGATAAGAAGACGTATTCTGTTGGGACTACCATAAATCAACCGGGATTTCGTTACGTCAAATTAGAAAAGCTATTCAAACTCCTGGTGCATATAACATTCGCCAAATTCATTTTCTTTATCTTTATAATTTAATATACTCTGACTGTCACATCATTCTTATGTAGGTGTCATAGGGTCTTCTTAAATTTTGTTACTTATGCAATTATAGATGTTCCAATTTCATTTTATATGCACTAATAACAGATGCCAAGCGTGACGTAACATTGAAAATTAGCAACTTCTCCACCGCTTAATTGCATTCAAAAGTTTTCTGCAAACTTCAATGAATTTATGCAAATTTAGAGGGAGAAGAAGCGCAACAGACTTGCAAAAGTTTTGCAGAAACATCGAAGTTACATTCTCATTTGTAGCAAAACCTCTGTGCCGTTTCGAATTTCTTAATTTTCTACTTTGACATCATGATTTCAGGAGAAGTTCAAACCTCTTAGGTTTTAAGTAAAATTTAACCTACAAGAGGCGCTGAAACTTTCCTGAAAACTTTCAACGACATTTCGTCGCCACTTATCAAAGGAATTTCCTAATCTTCTGTCGCGGAATTGTGATACACATTGAAAGTTTCAAACTTTATGATTTAGGGTGAAATTTGAGCATCAAAGAGCACTGAATTTTCACGAAACTTTCATCTACATTTTTCCACTGGATATCTTTATAATCCTCTTTAAATTTTAATTTAAAATTTCTTTGTTTTTAAATCCCTCAACCTTTTACTTGATTCCGTTGAAAGTTGAAAGAATTATTGTTCTTTTCCATAGATATATATTTCTTTAATCTTCTTCATATTTTAACTCTTTATTAATTCCACAATTTTCTGTAGGGATATTTCAATTTCCTAACACGTAAATTTGGAGTAAAATTCAAGTTTCAGCTAGCATAGAATCGTTTTAGAAATTTAGAGATACTTTTTACTGTGATATATCAACGAATATTCCTGCACTTAGAATACCAAAACACGTAAAGACAAATGTGACAAGATAATTCTGGCACGCGCGTCTCGCTCCTTACAAATAATGTTTTCGTCTTCCTTACAAATTGTATTCGTGTCTTGCAAATAACTTATATTTTAAGGGTATTACAAGGATGCTCGTGGCCGCTATTTGAGCCCCAGGGAAATCGTTTTGTTAGATGAAAATAAATCTAGAATAGGAATTTCAAAACTTTGCAATAATATTGGACGTGTACAAAATTTAAAAAACTAAGATAGCCTGGGAATGACGTCAAATTCTCTGGAATTTAGTTAGACGATAAAAGAAGAATATTTTTTTATATAACACGAGGTGCATCGTCGAAATTTCGTGCTCTACCTTGCAGAATAAGTGTTATCTCTGTCGAGAGAGCAGTTTAAGCTTTTATTATACCATCAAACTGCACCCGAAGGTGAAGTAACTCGTGTGGTAATCCTGTCTAAGAGGCATTCATGTAAATCGTATTCGTTTTTTAGTGGAATCATCAATCTCGGTTGCAGCTAAAAAGCTTTAATAAAATTAAAATTTGATGTCGAGAGGAAAATTCTATGAGCAATATAATTTAGTTTTTCAATTCAACATTCGTTACCATTAAAACTCGCACATTTCTTTCCAATTAAACACGATGAACCGTGAAAGAAATCGATTCTGGGATTCGCGAAAGGAACGATAATTAAAATATTCGTCGGTCAGCCAAGCGTAAGGTGATCGTTATAAAATACAAGGGATATCGCGAAATTACGGGACGACGAAACCACCGTACTCGAGGTTCGCAAGAGGAACGAGCTCGAAGGGAAGTGGCGGCCTCGTATAGTTTACTTACCGCGATTAATAATTGCAATTTAACACCAATGTTGCGGTGCTGGATAGCACAATGGGCTACGGTAGCTTTGGCGCATAGCTTCGACGCTTTAACCGAACCGGATACATTATAACCCCACGTGCAGGGATAATGGCACAGAGAAAATGCGAGACAGAGATGATGCGCTGACACCATAGATACATATGCATTCTATATCAGTGTACTGTTCCCCATGGACAAGGTTTCAAATGAAAATTCTTGTTCAGACAGAGAATTAAAGAAAAATTTTATTTTTCTTGCAAAAAACAGAAGTCTTATACAATTCACATTTGATCATTTACCAATTGCACACTTCAATCTGAAATAAATGAAACCAATCGTTACATGACTGTTTCAATTAAAAAGTGAACAAACAACAATTCCGATAGCGTTGATTGCTGTTGTTACGATCAAAAGAATTGAAACGTTACTGTGAAATTGGAGAAAAAAGTCTCGTTCAATGAAACAACAGCAATGAAATTGCTATCGACTGATGTGATTCGCAAATAATGGTCGCTATAATCGTTAGCTTAAAACCAAATTATCGAATATGTATTCGCGTAAACGACACAATCGTGGTTCTGCCATTATTGTTATCGTAATTCCGCATTTTAATCCATGCTACATTGAAAAGCTTAGTCTGTTATGTAATTGAATGCGATGTCGAGCAGATCGAAAATAGCGACAATATCGTGGCCAAAATACAACGAGAAAAGTAGAAAAATTGTGGTTCGATACTGATCGTTTTTAAAAGTACAACTTTGCATTAGTTTTGTCATCAAATTATATTCAATCTTTTTTTACTACGTTTCGAAATTGGCCATTTGTTATTTGAAAAGGTCAGTTCATCGACCTTAAGTGGAAAGATTTGAATGCAACGTGGAAATTCGTTGCATTGACGATGCAAACCAAGTGTCCTTCCGTTTGTTGGCGTGCATGCGTTCCTAATTTCATGAAACGTCACCAGGCTATGCAGAGAACAATTTGGGATCGCTAAATCTGCATACCGGTCGTTTCTCATCCTCATTGGCGATCACGAAGCATGTGCAACGTTCACTAGAGACATCACCAACATTCCTGTTGGTTTTCCTAATTAGTTTTCGTACGGCAGAACTACGTGAATTTTGTTCGTAAAAATGAATTTTCCATATTTATCTTGACTGAAGAAAAGCGTAATATTTCAATGTTGAAAAATATTATAATATCTAACCTCAGGAAACTGAAAGGAGATGAAGGATTATAAAGGATTTTGATAGGGTATTATAGAAAAGCGGATATATTATTACATTACCTACTAAAATTTCCATCACTCATCTCTAATAATTATTAAAATAATTGTGATTCTATATTATTCATGTTAATAACTGTTAAGAGGATCACTACATGCAATAATACTATCAAAATCGTATTAAATTCTCCATTAAACCGTATTAAAATAACCGAAACTTTGAAGAACCGCCCTATCAAAAATAATGGGTCAATTTTAACGAAATTTATACCATTATTTGCAGCATATTTTCCTCTTTAAAATGGCGTTTAGTTTATCAAAATACGATTTTTGGTTTTCGAGATATCGACGTTTGAAGAGAACTATAATTTTTGATGATTTACTATCGTCTTCCTGGTCAGCACACTACTGACCTACATTACGTGCGCTGGTCAGGCACCACGACGGAGTCATTCATGTTTTTTTACTATTACTACTAGACGTAGTACGCACTTCTTGGAAAAAATGTAGGTCACGCGCCCCATTCAATATTCTCGCGCTTACGCATAAACTTTGAAGCCTTATATCTCGGGAAGCAATTGAGATGTCGACTTGCAATCAATTGCATTCATCTAGTTATGCCTTCTTCCTCTATCTTCTGAAATATTTATGGTTCAATTTTCTGCAACTTTTTTTCTTGCATTATTAGCGTTGTAATGACGTACCTTCATAGGATTATGCATCCAATAGCTTGCAGCTAACTTTTATATAAAACTTTTTCTCTGTTTTCATTTACAAAAAAAACCTAGAACACCGTGTGTAAAATGAAAGTTGTTCGTTGAAGTTTCATTCAGAAATTTTTTTACCCAGCACTGTCAAAACAACAGTTGCAGGAAATTGCTGTCAGGGTCGTCAAAACAGAGAAGAGAAAAGAAAGACACGAGCAAACGGTTAGTTTGGTTGTCGCGATAAAAAAATATTCACAAAATCCCGCGAGAACACATCCGACACATCGGTCAACCTTTCCGTCGCGAGTGTTTCCGGTTGGATTTTACTGACGGTCGTTCGATCAGTTGCATTCAATGCGCACAATCCGAAATCGTTTTACAACAGCGTGCTTTGGTCACGAAACAATGTTACTTCCTTGCTCACTGGGAAATTTCTTTATTCTATACAAAACGAAATCCTTTTTTAATAATTGAAGACAAACTAGCACAGATTTTTCAATAACCTTCCTGGAACGGAATAATAAATTATCGTCTACATCAAGGGGTTACATGAAAAACGGAAAAGTAGTCAGTATTTCCACATAGGGGGTGGCGAAAGATAAATAAAGCGAAGTGTTACACGGAGAAATAAAGTAAACTTGTCACCCAGAGAAATTGATTAATGGCAAGTCATGGCGTTGTATACGGGGAACCGAGGGCCTCGAACTTTAAAACCAACTATTAATTACGACCTGTGCAAGAAACTTTGGCAGAAAGAGGGGCCATTCGACACCCTTCAGGAAAGAGAATTATGGCTGTATAGGAGGTAAAAAAAATTACAACTGTTTTAGAACAGGAAAATAACTTCTTTTAATTTTAAAACAACTCGATATCCATAAAACCTGA